TCTCAAAGGAAAAGCTTTCAGCCTCTCGCTGTTCAGTATGATATTAGCTGTGAATTTATCATATATGGCCTTTATTATATTGAGGTACTTGCCCTCTATGCCCATTTTGTTGAGAGTTTTTAACATAAATGGATGTTGAATTTCATCGAATGCTTTTTCAACATCTATGGAGATGATCATGTGGTTTTTGTCCTTCTTTTTGTTAATGTGGTGGATGATGTTGATGGATTTTTGAATGTTGTACCATCCTTGCATCCGTGGGATGAATCCCACTTGGTCATGGTGTATGATCCTTTTGATATATTTTTGAATTCGGTTTGCTAATATTTTGTTAAGTATTTTTGCATCTACATTCATCGGGGATATTGGTCTGTAATTTTCTTCTTTGGTGGGGTCTTTGCCTGGTTTTGGTATTAGGGTGATGTTGGCTTCATAGAATGAGTTTGGGAGTATTCCCTCCTCTTCTATTTTTTGGAAAACTTTAAGGAGAATGGGTATTATTGAGTTTTGTTTTTTAATTGATATATATATCCAGATAGTCAAGATAATAACTAAGGCCAAACTCATAGTGACTAAATTATCAGTTACTCTGAATCATAGAATCTGTGTGTAGGATCGAGTTGAATCTTTATGACAAAACTGACGGTTACTTTGATTTTCTAGGACTGAAGACTTTGTCTCTGGTATTCTAAGCACTGGTGTTTATGGGCTCAAATCACACTTGAAAGAAAGGAATTTCTGCTCCTTGAACTTATCTAAAGTTCTCTGAAACTGAAAAGAGTTCAAGATACGGTTGATTCTTTGAAAGAGTCTAGCTATAAAGAATGAACATCAGTTTCATAAAAATTTAGAAATGAAGTCACTCTAACACTAATGACATAAAGGATGTCACAGCCACCAAGCTGTGTAAATGTCTTCTTTGTAGTGTAACCCTTATCCACTATCTGAGCAGCTGCTGAATTTGTCAGGTTATAAACCACTCGGTTAGATCTCTCACACCATGAAATGCATTCATGCCACACAGGCACCAACAAGAATGCATCTTGTACTTGATGTTTTTGCAACTGTTCATTCTTGAGTCATTCCATGCAATATCTCTGAGGTTAGATAGGTTAATTGTTGTTTTATGGTCACATGGCTGATTAGGTAGTAAATTCAGAATTCAGTACTAGACTTCCTATTTTCTAATAATTACTATTTACTGAGTCCCTTCTCTAACCTATCACAAGTGCATTTTCTCCAGTCCTTAAATATTTCCTTCCAGGTAGGTCTTATTATCTCTTATTTTACATATGTTGAAAATGAGGCCCAGAAAGGTGAAATGATTTGATAAAATTATGTAGGTTGTAACAGAATGAAGATTCACACTCAGTCTCCACAGCTATGCTTTTCCTACTAGGCAGTGTTAACTGAAACATGAGGATAACGCTAGGTGTTGCAGATTTATGAGTAGTAACATGAATAAGAGATGGGTAGTTTTAATCTGTAAAAAGTACTCTGGGGACTAGGTTTTGCCCAATATTTAATAGTTGGGATATGAGTTGGTGTTCTGCAGTTGGGCTGCTCTTGAGTGTTTCATTCTGCCAAGTGCTCAATGTTAAAACACATCTCTCTGCTAACTCCTCCTCAGGCCTTGGCGCCCTTGCCTTAAAGGCAGGTGGTCTGAAGAAAGGCTCCCTCTAGGTTGTTGCACACCATACACAACACATAACAGTGTGAGACAACTGTCAGTTCCTTCCTTCCCTTCTTCCCCCACCCTCCAGAAATCTGGGCCCCAGATGGAAGAGCTGGAAATGTGTCAACTGTTCTCTGAAGGGCAATGAGAAAACACTGTAAAGAAGAAAAAGGCAAACGCAGCAGCTCATTAGTTCACTAATCAGACAGGAAGACCATCAGTTTCACAAAGAAAATGTCCTGGACAGAGCAATGCGAAGGGCTGGCAGAGTGTTGCCCACATGGCTCTCAGAGAGCTGCACATATTTGTCAGGGGATTTGTAAATTGAGGGCATTGCTTCCTTGATTGACTTTATGTATTCATTATATCTCTTCCCCAAATGCAGCCACTGCAAACTGAAGCATAAAAATAGTATTTGGGGATATTCCCCTTATTAGAAGGTGCCCACAAATACGAGAAGATGTGCTTTATTGCCAGTGTCATAAATGCTCTTGTGTGTATTGTGTTGACAGCTATGATCTCACAGAAAGAAATCTGTTATTTAACATTCTCATTTGAACCTTTGGTATCCATTCTTGTACTTTAAATTGAATTTAGCATTTATTGGAGGGTTAAACGTGGTACTTAGGTGAAAAGCTCGGAATTACTGAGAACATCATAGCTCAATTTAATGGTGGTTATGGTACCTCTGGCCCTATTGTTTCCTAAGTATATAACAATTTCCCTGTAATGGGGAAAAATAACCTTTTGAAGACATTAAAATACTACTCCTCAGTATCAAGTCTTACTCATATTAGCTTAGACCTCATTCTAACATCATTAAGTTTAATCTATCACATTTCTCTTTCTGGAATTTGTTGCTGTCTGGTATTAGGAAACAGCTGCTTATGAAAGCTGCTTTGTCCCCATGGGTGAAGTAGCCTCTGCTTAGTTTAGAATCAGTTACACTTTTTGTCTGTTTGGGCACTGTACATTATAAAAGACATTTACATATTGATGTCAGAGATGTTGAATCCACCCTGTTTTTCCTACTTAGAATAGATGAATATAAAAATTTAGTACTTAATCATTCATAGTAATTTATGTACAACCGATAATGATTCTGTTCCCGTTCCATGCAGTTGACACCTACTGATGTACATAGTTCCACATTAGCTTTTTTCTCCTACTAGTTTGATTCATTTTATGAAGAGAAAAAGAATGCAGTCGTGATAAAATGAATTTATAATCTGGTTTCTTTCTTTCTGAGCCACTGTCCTCACTGTTAACTTTCAGATCATGTCAGCCATTGACCTTGCTACCTTGTTTTAGTCTCCTAGAATTGCCATAACAAAGTACCACAAAGTAGGTGGCTTAAGACAGCAATATTCCCTCACAGTTCAGGCCAGAAGTACAAGATCAGGGTATCAGCAGGGTTGATTCCCTCTTGGGACCTCAGTGGAAGAATCTATTCCATAACTCTCTCCTAGTTTCTGGTGGTTGCTGACAGTCCTTGGCATTCCTTGCCTTGTAGATGCATCACTCCCGTCTCTGCCTCCATTGTCACATTGCAGCCTCTGCGTAGCTACATCTGTTTTTATGTAGTCTCCTCTGTGTATGTGCTTTTTCTGCTCTTCTTAGAAGGGCATCATTCATAATCCAGGATGATCTCCTCAAGATCCTTAACTACATCTTCACAGGCCCTTTTTCCAAATAAAACATTCACAGTTCAAGGAATTAAGAGGTTCAGTAGTTCCCCTTTATGTGTGTGTATGTGGGGTACATTCCAAGACCACCAGCAGCTTCATGAAACTTCAAATAGTACTGAACACTATTATGTACACTGTTTTTTCTTACACATGCATACCTATAAACTTTAGTTTATAAATTAGGCACAGTAATAAATTAACAATAACCAGTAATAATCGGATAATTACATGAATCCTGTAATTACATGAATGTAGTCTCTTTCAAAATATCTTATTGTATTGTCCTTATCCTTCTTTGTATAATAACATGAGATGATAAAATACCTACATGATGAGGTGAAATGAGGTGAATGGTGTAGGCGTTGTAACGTAATGTTAGGCCACTGCTTCTGGTCAGAAGGAGGATCATCTGCTTGGACATGGCTGACTGTGGGTTGACTGAAACTAAGGAAAGTGAAATCACAAAGGGAAGACTACTGTAGATCATCTTTTTAGGGGCCACCATTCAGCTTATTAACTTAAGCATCTTCTTAACTTTTTAGTCCTCTAGGAAAATATGTTGGTATTTCAGATTGTCACCAGTTTTATTATCTTACAGAAAACTGACCTTCATTCTTTTTATTGTCTACAGTTGGTCCAGAGAAAAGGGTGCCAGCAATGCCTGGATCGCCTGTGGAAGTAAAAATACAGTCAAGATCTTCACCCCCCACCATGCCACCCCTCCCACCAATAAATCCCGGAGGACCTAGGCCAGTGTCATTTACTCCTACAGCATGTGAGACCTCTTTATTACTTGTTTTTGTGGTTCAGAGAGGGTGACATTTGTATCTAAGTGACTGACTTCCTTAAACCTTCTGCATATACTATTCAGTATTTTCAAAATGGTTATTAAGATCTATATACATATATCAGATATATAGAATTTATACAAGTAAGAAATAACCAAATATGTTGCCTTCTGGGATAGTACATAGCTAATTTAGGCATTTGGAAATTTAGTGGTCTAAATTTTTTTTTTCATAGCCTGGCTGGTAAGTAGTTATTTTAATTTCTTCAGCTCTAAAATGATGAATTTAAATTAATATATTGATTAATAGGCATGAAAGTGTCATAAAATTACTTAGTACTTGTAATAGTGTTCCAGAACTGTCATTGTAAGGCTCTTTACAAAAGAGAATGATTATTGTATTAGTTTGCTTGGGTTGCTGTAACAAAATGCCACAGACTGGGTAGGTGACTTGAACAACAGAAGTTTATTTTCTCACAATTGTGAAGGATAGAAGTTCAAGATTAAGGTGTCAGCAGATTTGGTTTCATCTGAGTCCTCTCCTTAGCTTGAAGGCAGCCACCTTCTCGCCGTATTCTCCCATGTCCTTATCTCTGCACATCCATCCATTGTCCATCCATTGTCCCTGCTGCTGCTTATAAGGACGACAGTCATATTGGATTAGGGACCCCCCTTGTGAAGGCCCTGTCTCCAAATATAGTCACATTCTGTACTGGGGGTTAAAATTTGAACATATAAATTTGTAGAGAACAGTTTAGTCTGTAAGAATTATATTAGCCAATAAATATACAGTAAGTTGGTCAGTCTTACTAGTTACCAAGGAAATGCAAACTAAAATCCAATGTAATACCATATACACCCACAAGAATGTTCAAAATGAGAATATCAGGTTTTTGTGAGCATGTGTGAAGTGTCTTGAAGATTCATACATTTGTTTGAGAAAATTGGCAATATCTGCTATGGCTGAATTTCTACAAACTCTGTAACTCAGCAGTTTCGGTCCTACGGATACACTAAAGCAACAACAAAAAAAACACCACAATTTAAATGTAGACTTACACACGCACACACACATTTTTAATTTGAGTTCTTCTCCTGCCTCTCCATGCTCATGCTATTCCCTGTTCATGTTGATTCTTTCACAGTTGTTTTAATTCATAAATAGCAGAAGACACCTGGTCACTTGCAGAGTACCTACAGTGTGTCAGGGCACTGTGCTAGGTGCCGTGTACATTTTCTTACTTAAACACCATTACATAAGCTTACACACTATCTTTGCTCAAACATCTATGTTTTGTGTGTTTATTGTATTAGAAGGCAAGATAAGAGAATGTAAGAGGTACAGCTTAAATAAAAAGTCTGTTTCCCAAAACATTTGAAATTGTGTAAGAGTGGCAGCTATAATGATCAGAGTGAATGAAATGAAGTTTGATATCCTCTTCTTTAAATTCTGTTTTCTATCTCAAAATTACACGTCCTTAGATACAGGTGCTGTCTGAAAGTGAAACAGATTTAAGCTCAAGCTGTCATTCAGATTTCAAGATACAGACAATAGAGAGATGTATATGTAAATTCAGCCTTTTTTACCTATGCATGTGACTTACTTGAGGGCAGATATGTTCTATTTCAGAAAATGTGATCGTATATTTAACTGAAGATACTGAAAAAGCCTGTCTAATCATCAGGTTGGCAGTATTATTTTAGTGGGTTGGTTCAAAAGAGGCCAAATTCTATAATGGCATTTGACTTTTAATGTGAACACAAGAAATCGTGGATTGTTACAACTGATTTTATGGATCACTGAGGTTGAATGTTGAGCATTCTTTTCCAGTAACTCTAGTGATCTCTTTTAATGGAAGACACGGAAGAAAATTCACCCTCTTTTACTTAACCTATTAGTCTTTTATGCAGTGAATCATTCTGCAGCATCTTCCTGAACAGTTTCACTTTTTAGCTAATGAACAAAAAGCCAGTATACAGTGTACACAGTTTATAAAATGTAGCTATTTATAGTATACACAGATGTATGAGACTGTGTTCATCAATAAGTGCACAGTCTATTAAGGCAGTGCAAATATACAAAGAAATAAGTATAATTTGACAACATAATGGACAGTATATCACAACAGCACAGTGAAGAGTTATTAAATCTACTAGAGATTACTGTGAAGCAGCAATGTATCAAAGAATGCTTCTTAATACAGGTGATATCTGAGCTATATAGTATGAAGAAGAGGTTGTCAAGTAAAATTTGAGTAAGTTAATTGAAAAGTAGGAACAGTGGTTAAGAGTCCCATGTTCTACCAACTGAGCTACAGCAGGGCTCCCGAAAAGTAGGAACAGTGGTAGTCAACTGATTAAAGTTTGAAGGAAGAAGGGAAATGGAAGATTTTTTTCATATGATTGAATAATTTGACTCTAAATTATTTTTTTGTTTTTAGACAATTTTAACCTTAGATTTTCAAACCTGAGTATGATTAAGTGGAAATCTATTGACACCTAGGTACTAGATAACTTTATTTCTCTGCTCAGTAAAGAAGGAGATTTTTACTTAATACCACGAAGAACTTAACTCTTGGGTTGTGTTCCATATTAAAACTAAGAATGATGGAAAAATAGGAAAACTGTTAATTTGTCACATATTATAATTTGAACAGAAATATAGAATGAGAATATCCTATGGCAGTATTAATCAAACACTGTCAAGGCAGAGAAAAACTGATGCTGATGGGGCATAAATATTCAAAATGGTCAAAGAGATTTATACCTTACTGCAGGAATAGGTCATTAAACCTATAGCTTAGAAAAAACATTTCTCACATTAACACAGTTCTGTTTTCTTGTTCATATGCTTCATTCTAGTTGACTGCTTAACTTCTTTGGGACCTTAAGGTTAGGAAGGAGATAAGACGTCAAAGATGAGCATGAGTGGGTGTCCAGTCATCCAGATTCATCTCATGCCGTACCTATTGCAGGAAGTCTTAAAACTACCTTCCCCTCTCCGTGGCATCTGTAGAGCTAGATGTCCCTTCTCTGTGCTCTTGTAGCACTCTGTACTATTCTGGTTCAACATTTCTGTGTTACTCTGTTACCTTTTTTACTTGACAGTCTGTCTCACTATGTAGCAGTCTTGTTGAGGGCAGAAACAGTGTCTTGTGTACTCTTCTAATATGCTTTACAAAATTCAAGTGAATAAATGAAGGACTATATGAACAAGAAGAAATTAACAAAGATCCTTGAGTTTTGTACTTAAACTTGAGTCTTTTGTTGGGCTTTCTTTTAGTAAGCAATGGCATCAATCATTCTCCTCCTACCCTGAATGGTGCCCCATCACCACCACAGAGATTCAGCAATGGTCCTGCTTCTTCCACATCATCTGCACTAACAAATCAACAATTACCAGCCACTTGTGGTGCTCGGCAGCTCAGCAAGTTGAAACGCTTCCTCACCACTTTGCAACAGTTTGGCAATGACATCTCACCTGAGATTGGGGAGAAGGTGCGGACTCTCGTTCTAGCGCTGGTGGTAAGTACAGTGTCACTGTCAACAGCTACCTATGTATGTGACTCAGAACTGAAGCCAGCAAATATTTGTACACATTTCTGCTCATTCCAAAACCTGTGGCAACTTGGAAAAATCTATAGAGGAGATTAGTTAATATATACTTGTATAAAAATATTGAATTACGGATTTCAGTTGTGGATAACAATGTTTAACAAAAAAACACATCTAATGGTTACTGTAGTGTTTCTTTTGGTGTTGATTCCAATAAGCAGCTTTGAACTGGTCTTAAAACTGAGTTTCAACGTGCCCCTGTGATTCAACAAAGTTAATGCAAGGTTTTGTTACTTAATATATTCAGTGTATGGTGCATTGTTTCCAAATCAGAGAGAAAAGTAGTGAATTTAATTTTCAAAATAATTTGTGAAATGATAAATTTCACGGTCTCAATAAATAATACCAAAAGGGATTACATTCTTTAGCATGCAAATACAGTTTTGTTAGAATTATCAAGGCACACATAATTTTTCTTTTGATGGTTACAGCTCAGGGGCAGAGCATTTGAATGTGCATAATTTTTCTTTCTATAGTGAGTGTGGTGAGCATGTGGTATAAGGGAGTGATTTTCTGAAATTGACAGCTGGGTGGGGTTTGGCTTAGTGCATATAAGGGAGTAATGCCAGTTCCCAATGTTTTAAATAGAATTCTTCAAGATTTACCTGCTGTAAAATCACCACTTGCTCCTGCTTGTTAGCCTTTAGATGTTATAAAGATGAATCACAGTATTAACTCTTAATGTTGTAGTTCTCAAAGTAAAATCAAGGACCTGTGGAATTACCCCAAGCCCTTGAAGTCCAGGAGGTCACAATTATTTTCATAAGAATACAAAGATATGAATTGCCTTTCACTCTTACTCTTCATGAGTGTACAGTGGAATTTCTAACATCTGTATGATAATAGGCTGTCACAAGGCATTAAATGCTGAAGCTGGTAGGAGAATTGAGCTGTCTTATATTAAGCTGGGTATTAAAGATTTGCAAAACTGTAGCACCAGTGTCATTCTTATTACTGCATTTTTGGGGAAAATATAATTTTGAAATCAGTAAATAATGAATATTTTTCAAATTCTCAATCTTAATTTCTGATATGGTGATTACTCATATATGTAACACATATAAATAAATACAATTCAGTGGTATTAAGTATGTTTTATTATTGTGCAACAATCACCACTATCAGCCTCCAGAGCTCTTTTCCTCTTGCAAAAATGAAACTCTTGCCGTTAAACAATTCCCTATCCCTCCTCCCCTTAGCTCCCATCAAACACCATTCTACTAGACTACTCTCTAGGTACCTCATATTAGTGTAATCATACAGTATTTGTCTTTTTGTGGTTAACTTATTTCACTTAATGTAATGCCCTTAAGGTTTATCCATGTTATAGCATGTCAGAATTTTCTACTTTTTTATGAGTGAATAATAATTAAAATGGAATATTAATACATTTTATTTATCCACCGATCGACTTTTGATGTGCTTCCATCTTCTTGATTAGAGAAAGTTTTATATCAGTTTCCTACAAAGATATAAAAGATTATGTCAATGTGTATATATATATATTGGCCAAGTTCCTAGACACCAGCCAGTGTCCCAACCTTGCAAGTAGGCTTTTCAAAGGCTACCAGTTTTAGACCTGCTTGGGGCCACTACAAATAATATTGCTGTGAGCATTCTTATACATGTGTGCAAGCATTGCATTAAATATTGGAATTGATTTCATAGGGTATACATATATACAAAATTTTTTTTATTAAGGTATTATTGATATACACTCTAACGAAGCTTTCACATTAAAAACAATGTGGTTACTACATTCATCCCTGTTATCGTGTCCCCCCCATACCCCATTGGAGTCACTGCCCATCAGTGTAGTGAGATGCCACAGTCACTATTTGCCTTCTCTGTGCTATACTGTCTTCCCCCTGATCCCCCTACACCATGTGTGCCAATCATAATACCCCTGAATCCCCTTCTCCCTCCCTCCCCACCTGCCCTCCCCCTCCCCCTCCCCTTTGGTAACCGCTAGTCCCTTCTTGTAGTCTGTGAGTCTGTTGTTGTTTTGTTCCTTCAGTTTTGCTTCATTGTTATACTCCATAAATGAGGGAAGTTGTTTGGTACTTGTCTTTCTTCACCTGGCTTATTTCACTGAGCATAATACCCTCTACCTCCTTCCATGTTGTTGCAAATGATAGGATTTGTTTTCTTCTTATGGCTGAATAGTATTCCATTGTGTATATGTACCACATCTTCTTTATCCATTCATTTAGTGATGAACACTTAATCTTCTTCCATATCTTAACTATTGTAAATAGTGCTGCAATAAACATAGGGGTACATATGTCATTTTGAATCTGATAAATTATATTCTTTGGGTAAATTCCTAGGAGTGGAATTCCCGGGTCAAATAGTATTTCTATTTTGAGTTTTTTGAGGAACCTCCATATTGCTTTCCATAATGGTTGAATTAGCTTACATTCCCACCAGCAGTGTAGGAGGGTTCCCCTTTTTCCACATCCTCGCCAACATTTGTTGTTGTTTGTCTTTTGGATGTTGGCCATTCTAACTGGTGTGAGGTAATAGCTCATTGTGGTTTAAATTTGCATTTCTCTGATGATTAGCGTTGTGGAGCATCTTTTTCATGTGCCTGTTGGCCATCTGCATTTCTTCTTTAGCAAAGTGTCTGTTCAGACCCTCTGCTGATGCTGATGGGCATAAATATTCAAAATCGTCAGAGATTTATACCTTACTGCAGGAATAGTTTTAATTGGCTTATTTGCTTTTTTGTTTGTTGAGGTGTGTGAGCTCTTTGCATATTTTGGATGTCAACCCCTTATCAGATATGTCATTTATGAATATATTCTCCCTTACTGTAGGATGCCTTTTTGTTCTACTGATGGTGTCCTTTGCTGTACAGAAGCTTTTTAGTTAGATATAGTCCCATTTGATCATGTTTGCTTTTGTTTCCCTTGCCCGGGGAGATGTGTTCATGAAGAAGTTGCTCATGTTTATATTCAAAAGAGTTTTGCCTATGTTTTCTTCTAGTTTTATGGTTTCATGACTTACATTCAGGTCTTTGATCCATTTTAAGTTTACTTTTGTTTATGGAGTTAGACAGTAATCTAGTTTCATTCTCGTACATGTAGCTGTCCAGTTTTCCCAACATAGCCGTTGAAGAGGCTGTCATTTCCCTATTGGATATCCATAGCTCCTTTATCGTATATTAATTGACCATATATGCATAGGTTAATATCTGGACTCTATTCTGTTCCACTGGTCTATGAGTCTGTTCTTGTGCTAGTACCAAATTGTCTTGATTACTGTGGCTTTGTAGTAGAGCTTGAGGTTGGGAAGCGAGATCTCCCTTCTTTATTCTTCCTTCTCAGGATTGCTTTGGCTATTCAGGGTCTTTTGTGGTTCCATATGAATTTTAGAACTATTTGTTCCAGTTCATTGAAGAATGCTGTTGGTATTTTGATAGGGATTGATTGAATCTGTAGATTGCTTTGAGCAGGATGGCCATTTTGACATTATTAATTCTTCCTAGCCAAGAGCATGGGATGAGTTTCCATTTATTAGTGTCCTCTAGTTTCTCTTAAGAGTGTTTTGTAGTTTTCAGGGTATAGGTCTTTCACTTACTTGGTTAGGTTTATTCCTAAGTATTTTATTCTTTTTGATGCAATTGTGAATGGAATTGTTTTCCTAATTTCTCTTTCTGCTAATCCATCGTTAGAGTATAGGAATGAAGCAGATTTCTGTGTATTAATTTTGTATCCTGTAATTTTGCTGAATTCAGATATTAGTTCTAGTAGATTTGGAGTGGAGTCTTTAGGGTTTGTTATGTACAATATCATGTCATCTGCAAACAGTGACAGTTTGACTTCTTTCTTACCAATCTGATGCCTTTTATTTATTTGTGTTGTCTGATTGCCATGGCTAGGATCTCCAGAACTATGTTGAATAAAAGTGGAGAGAGTGGGCATCCTTGTCTTAGAGGATCTTAGAGGAAAAGCTTTCAGCTTCTCACTGTTAAGTATGATGTTGGCTATGGGTTTGTCATATATAGCCTTTATTATGTTGAGGCACTTGCCCTCTATACCCATTTTGTTGAGAGTTTTTATCATGAATGGATATTGAATATCGTCTAATGCTTTTTCAGCATCTGTTGGGATGATTGTGTGGTTTTGGTCATTATTAAAAAAAACAGGAATTTATTTAATTTGATAGTTATGTTTCTGTAAATAAAAAGCCTATAGGAAGCCTCATGCTTAATGGTGAAATTTTGAAAGCTTTCCTTCTGATATTTGGAGCCAGAAAAAAATACCTCTTCTATTCAGTGTAATCCTAAACATTCTAGCTTATTAGCAAATAACGTACACAAGAATTGAGAGTTTACTACTTATGAAAAAATGGTTAAAATATTCCCACCACTGTTGGAGGGCCTGTATAAGTAGAACAGTCATTCCACATGTAGAAAACTTCATTAACCAAGTTGAAAAAGCCACACAGTTAGGTAGCAGGAGTTTAGTTCACCTGTGTGCATTCTGTTCTTCCGGTATATAAGAAGTAAAGTGCTGGTAGTCCCTAGTATACCAGAAAGCAGGCTTAGAGAATTTATGTTGCTAGGTAAAGGGAAATGTTTTGTATTCTGTCTACTTAATTGGAGAATACACATTCTGGAGGATAGTTTGGCAATGTTTTAGCACCTTAAACCAAGCAGTTCTTTGACTCACCAGTTTCTCTCCTTGGAAAGCATTCTAACGAAAGAAATATACAGCAAGATAATCAGTTTAACATTATTTGTAATGACAAAAAAAAATTGAAACCAGCTAAAGGGCCTGACTAAATTAGAATACACCAGTTAAATGGAATATGGTGTAGTCATTAAATATCAAATTTGGTTCAGAGGCACTACAGAAAGGTATACTCCTGCTGACAAACAGAAAAAAAGGTGTATGTTATATAGTAAACAAAAATAAGACACTGGAAGATGGAGAAAATAAGGCAGATTGGCTAGTGACCTTGGAACCCAAGGAAGTACGTAAGTAATAAGTTCTCTAGGTTTGGGTTTTCATCACATATCCCTGGAAACGCTTATGAGCACAAATCAAAAACAAACAAACAAAACCATTTTTTCTAGCCAAAGGACCAGGAAAGAAGAAACCAAGCAAGATAGAAAACTTTTAGACGATCACACTACTGTAGCCAAACACCTCAGAAAAAACTGCTGTAATGGGTACCCTGCTCCCTCCAATCAGAAGCCCATCAGGTACCCAACCTCCCACCCCTTGCAAGCAGTAATGAGCCTCTTCTTCCCTCTCTAAATCAACAGAGATTGAGTGGGATTATACACCACCTGACAGCCTCAAGGAGTCTCCTTTGCCTAGTGGCACAGTGTCAGAGGAGGCCTTCAAAACAGAAGATGGAGACAAGATCTGTAGTTTTACAACATAAGACCCAAAATGTCCAGGATACAATAGAAAACTGCTTTTCGTACCAAGAACCAGGATCATCTCAACTGAAATGAGAAAAAGATAGCCAGTAGACATAAACTAAGCTGACACAGATGTTGGACTTAACTGACAAAGATTTTAAAGCAGCCATCATAAGTATGCCTAAATAAGCAATTAGCAACACAAATAAAAAAATAACAAAGGCTTTACAAGGAAATAGAAGATAAGGAGAAGAGCTAAGTGGAAATTTTAGAACCAAAAAACACAAGAATAAAATTTAAAAAGTGATGAACTCAACAGTAGAATGGAGAGGACTGGAAAACAGTCAGTGAACTTGAAGCTAGAACAAGAGAAAAACTACCTAATCTGAACAACAGAGAGAAAATGACTTTAAAAAATTAAGAAACAGATCATCAGAGACTTGAAGGAGTATAGTAGAGAGGAGAAAGAACATGGGGCTGAAATAAAGGTTGAATTGCCCCACATTGGACAAAAGATCTAAACCTACAGATATTAAAAAGCTGAGCAGACCTCAAACAATATACTTCATCCATCCCCACCCCCAACCCCCAAAAAAGGGCAAAAAAATCTCAAAATCAATGACGGGGGAACAACTTGACTAATGGAAAAAATTCCAGTGGCAGTGGATTTCTCATCGGTAACCAGGGAAGCCAGAAGGAAGGGGCACATTTTTCACGTGCTGGAAGAAAAGAACTGTCAACCCAGGATCACCCATCTTAATGTATCTTTTTGGAATGAGAGATAGAGGGATCAAAATATTTTCAGATGAAGTAAAACTAAGAGAATTTGTCTCCAGCAGACCTATGCTTTTAGAAGAATGGCTAAAGGAATTTCCTGATACAGAAAATGATAAAAGAAGGAGTCTTGAAATACCAAGATAGATGAGAGAAAAACGGAAGGAATTAAAATAGGCACAACATATTTTGAGGTTTCTAAGTTATGTTTAGTGTTTGAAGCAAAAATTCTAGTATTGTCTGACGTGGTTTTTAGTATGTATAAAGTAAATATTTAAGATAGTTATAAACCAGGAGGCTAAAGGTAGATAAGGTTTCTACATCTGTATCTTAATTGCTATGGTGATTACATGAGTATATACATGTTGTAAAATGATAACAGAACTAGACACATACTTTACCAATGTTCCCTAGTTTTGCTACTACACTATAGTTACATAAATGTAACCATTGGGGGAACTTGGGTACAGGGTATATGGGAACCTATCCTATTTTTGCTCCCTATGGTTATAACTATAATTATCTTTAAATTTTAAAAGATTAAAAAATATTTAATCTGGTGAGCTCTGTATATCCATTATCTCCTAAGAACTCTATAGGTGTTTCCTTTGTGATTCAGAGACTAGATCTCCAACATTTTGCCCTTATCATTCTTTTTTCTTTGTCAGAAGCATCTTTCTCAAGGTTGCACTTCCACTTCTTCTGTAAAACCTTCTTTATTTCCCTACATCTGATTCAAGCACATCTTCTCTGTGTCCTGGTAGTGTCCTACACATGTGTACCTCCATCAGACTGTAATGAATAGCTTGCTTGTCCGTTTTGTCACTCGACTATGAGTTCTTAGGAAAAAAACCAGATGTGCTGTCTTATTTTTAAATAGTTGAATGAGAGGTAAGTATAACAGTGGCTTTTCATTCCTTTCAGAGAGGATTGCTCTGCAGCTAGTGTGTACAGCCCTGAGTTAGTCATTGTTTCCTGTGCCGCTCAGTTCATCCTTTCCCTCCTTTGTCCATCCACAAGAATATGTAAAGTTATTCACACAGTTTTCTCATAGATTACTTGTATTTACTTTTGGAGGCCTAATTGTATTCACTATAGTGGGGAAAGAATATCATTCTTTTACACTTGATTTTCATTCCTGTTAACCAGTACCTTTATTTGCATTATCCTAATGTCCTGTACTTAAAAAAGTACTCAGGTCAAGTTGGTAAGAATTTTTTTGGTATGAAATAAGGTAAACTGTTCAAATATTTTCATTTAATATGGTTAAACTTGATATATATATATATATATATATATATATCTTTTTTCCCTAAAGGGAAATATTTTAATTTTTACTGAATATTATTAACATATTTACAAAATCCAACACATTTCATATCCAGAAATAACTGCTGTTACAACTGTCCTTCTAGATGCTTAGAATATTATATAAAATGTGTGTTATTTTCATGAATGGGTTATTAGAAAGTATGGTTTTCCCTTAATAGTATATTATAAACACTTCTCGTCATTAATGCATACAAACACCTTCCCCAAAGTGTTCTGATGGATGACCATTATAATTTTTAATGTAGTTTCCTTTTGGTGGATGTGTATGTTTTCTATTACTATTAAGAAGCAATATTGTGCTGGTGAATAATTTGTATGGTACATGTTACATCTTTGAACACATAATGATTTTATGAAAGTAAATTCCTAGAAGTGGTAGTTGTTTTTCCAAGGAAGCAAGTATTCAGATTAACGCCTGATTTTGTTTTTTTTTAACTTGTTGTTATACTGTGTTTTAAGAAACTGAAATAAAAATATTTTGTGAACTTTGAATAAAATATTTTTACTAGTACATTCCCCTTAGCAGAGGAGCTGAGAGTCCTAGGTTAAGGCCAGACTTTTGAAAAAATACAAAATTGCTAATAACTTTCCTGGAAATAATACCAATGGAGTCTGCCTATTTGGAGGGGCTCTGATGTACAAATAGACCAGTGGAAGGCAGAGGCATCTCTTATTTTTAACTTCCTATTTTGATGTGGAAAACTGATGCTAGGAGGTAGGCAGAACCCACAAAGAAAGGAGGCTCTAGGTTGATCTGTTCAAACAGAAAAATTGTAAGCTTGGTTTCTAAGCCTGAGGTGACTTGTGATGACTCTCTGAATACACTGAACCTGAGTGTGTCTCTTCACAGATAGTGAGGGGAAGGGAGCACCCTATTTTGCAACCAAGACTACTGAGTTCAGAGGAAAATTTAGATTTGGGGTGGTTGAGAAAAGAAAATCAAGGAGGCCGAATTTCTGATTATGAAACAGAACTTGGTTAACCTTTGAGAGGGATATGACTTGATAATAGTGCCCTTGAAATTATCCTTTTACTTATGATTTAAAGGGGTTCAGCACTATCAGGTTTATATCAAATTTATATTAGGAGGACAGTATCTAGTTTTAGGAGTTGAACAATGTCATTTTTCTCTTCAGAACTCAACAGTTACAATTGAAGAATTCCATTGCAAGCTCCAAGAGGCTACTAACTTTCCTCTTCGTCCTTTTGTGATTCCATTCCTTAAGGTAATTTTTATAGATAACTGCTCAGTGTAATTTATCTTCAACATTCCCTCCATGTTGCAGATCCCAGGTCTGTGCTCTAAATCAAGGTGGTTTGTCAGATTTTTGTATCATTTTGGACTGCTGGAGTAATGGAATTTCAGTCTGCAGACAATCTTTATACTTGATGAGAGGAGAATTGCAAAAGCCTTAAGTTGGTGATCTGTATGCAAACACTGCTGGGTAACACACAGAAGAAGCAGGTAGAAGGGGAAGTAGGAGGTGAGTGGGCTAGTCTTGCGAGGGAAGCATGGAGACTGGGCTTTTAGCAGGAGTAACTGGACACTAAATCTTTTGGTGTGGCCACAGGCTGAAAAGTGTGTGTGTGTTATCTGAGGAAGGCTGTCAGGCAAAGGAGAGGCCTTTGCAGCTGGGCCTTACCCTAAACACAGAGGAGCATGTGGGAAGGCAGTGTGTACATCTCACCCACCCCCAGTTAGTCTAGCTTCTAGTTATGTTCTCTGGAATTATTATGCCCTTGAACATAATTTTTGGGGTACTGTTCAAAACTGTTGTGCTTACCTGGTAAGTAAGGCAGAGTTATGTAATATTCCCTGTTAAAAAAAATTTTTTTTATTTTGAAATAATTTCATGCCCACAGAAAAGTTGCCAAATAATACAATAAAATTCCTGTCTACCCTTCACTCATATTCTCCAAATGTTAATATTTTATACCATCTGCATTATTATTGTCTACTTTTTCCTCAGGAATGTTTGAAAGCAAATTACAGACATGATATATCTAAATACTCTATAGTGTAATTATAAAATCAAGAACTTATTAACATTGATAAAACACTAATTATCCATAGACCTTATTCACGTTTCACCAAACATCCCTCTAATGCCCTTTACAGCAAAAGAACCTTTCTTTTTGGGGTGAGGGAGGTGGGAGTGGCATGTATCTAATTTAAGATCACATCTTGTAAAGTCTTTTCAGTCCACTTTAATCTGAAACAGTTTCTCAGCCTTTTATGAGCTTGATATTTTTGAAGAGTACAGGGTAGTTATTTTATAGAATGCACCTCAATTTGGAGTTTTCTTAATTTAGAAATCAGATTATGCATTGTTGGCAGGGATAGCAGGTAAGTAGTATCATTGCACACTGTCAGGAGACATAGATGCTAATCTGTTTCATGATTGACGACGTTGACTTTGATGACTAGGTAAAGGTGGTGTCTTCCATGCATCCCTACTGTACAATTACTATTGCTCCTATTAAACAATTTTCAAAAACAGGTAACATTATGACTCATACAATTAGAAAATGAACCTGTGTCAAAGATTTTATTTCTTAACTCATTTTTTTTGTTGTTATGGTATCATTAATATACAATCACATGAGCAACATTGTGGTTACTAGATTCTCCCCATCATTAAGTCCCCACCACATACCCCATTACAGTCACTGTCCATCAGCGTACTAAGATGCTATAGAGTCACACTACTTGTCTTTGTGCTATACTGCCTTTCCTGTGCCCCCCACACATACATTATATGTGCTAATCATAATGCCCCTTACTTCCCTTATCCCTCCCTTCTCACCCACCCTCCCCAGTCCCTTTTCCTTTGGTAACTGTTAGTCCATTCTTGGGTTCTATTGAGTCTGCTGCTGTTTTGTTCCTTCAGTTTTTGCTTTGTTCTTATACTCCACAGATGAGTGAAATCATTTGGTATTTGTCTTTCTCCACCTGGCTTATTTCACTGAGCATAATACCCTCTAGCTCCATCCATGTTGTTGCAAATGGCAGGATTTGTTTTCTTCTTATGGCTGAATAATATTCCATTCCATCTTCTCTATCCATTCATCTACTGATTGACATTTAGGTTGCTTTTTTAACACACTATTAATGAGGAAATCATTAAGGTATTAAAACCAGTTAGGGGAGAATCAGAGAACCAACACATTTCTAAATCAGGGTTACTGATACAAATTTGCAAACAGAAATAAAACTGGCTTCTTCTACAGTGGGCAGGACAAGTCAGTGGGACCTCTGCTGGGCATAATTTTATGCATGTCCATAGACAAGTATTTTGCTTTGCTATCAGTTACTCATGACTTGCAGAGTTGTAAAATAGCTCAAAGGCAGTGAAAGACTAGAAACAGATACCATTTTGCTCTAGACTGGGCTTAGTTTGGAAACACATAACCCAAATCCAGTCCCCACATGGTTTTGTTCAGTGAAAAATAGAAGAATGGTTTCCACAGATGAACATTTGTAGTGAATTTGGTAATAGGGAACACAAATTTGAACCTCAATTAAGCTAAATGTTTTTCTCAATTCACCCCCCACCAAATGAATTCCATCCTTTTCATTAGCAGACTGATAATACAAAAACACTATATTCATTTGTTTTGTATTTTGTCAATGCAGTATTTGTGGAAATTTGTTTTCTTTCTTGTATATGAGTACCCACATAATATTTTCAGTTTTGCTTCTTGACTCAAAAAGCCTAAAATATTGGCCAAAAAGATAGGCCTCTGTTAGATTCTTTACCTTCATTTCCTAAGAAAATGTAATAGCACCAAAAAGATGGGTCATCTTGCTGAATTCCTGATAGCAGTTTTTTAAATCAGTACGGTTGACCCTTGAACAATGTGAATTTGAACTACATAGGTCCATTTATGCATATTTTAAAAGCATTTACATACTGGCAATTTTTTGGAGATTTGTGACAATTAAATTTTTTTCTCTAGCTTTATTGTAAGAATACAGTATATCATACATATAACATGTAAAATATGTGTTAATCAACTGTCAGGCTTCCAGTCAGCAATAGGTTATTAGTAAATAACTGCTAATGGGAGGAGTTCAAGTTACACGTGGATTTTTGATTGAGTGGGGGAGTTGGTGTTCCTGCTGCCATGTCTTTCAGGGGTCAGCTGTATAACAGACAACAGGATGATGCATAGGCCTCAGGTGCACGGCCTGTGTTGTGCTTCTGTTGGGAGAGCATTGACACCTCGGCCTGTTAGTGGGCTGTGGTGCCTCTGTCAGCCCTAAAACAGCTGTGCTGGTTGTACTTGGTCTCTGTTCTGGGTATCAGAGCCAGTAGACAGTTATTTCCCCCAAGACTCCAGAATCAAGTATTTGTGAGATTTATGTTAATAGGAAATAATTTGCTTTAAAAAAAGATTTATCAAAGGAGACATGTCACATATTTAAAGATCTGACATGGATTTTTTTCAGTGAAGTTTTTACAAGATTGGTTATAGAACACCAGACTCTAAAAGTGTCTTATATCTTCAGATTTCCTATTCTTATCTGTTATTTGGAAAACAGCGTGAGGTAGGTTGTTATGGCAGCTGTTTGGCTAGCATTTGTGTTTTTGTCAATTTATTTCTGCTTTAAACAGTCACTAATTATGGTACCTGCCAAATTAACCCTTCACAATGGGATGACTACTTGCATGTATTAAAACTCTCCTTTCACTTGCTCATCTGTTTCCCTTGGGATAAATACTTCTATTACAAACTGATTCTGAGTTGTTTTTAAATTTAGGGAGAGAAATAAAATTCTTTTTTTTTTTTTATAAAAGGAGTATGGGAAAAGTACATTTTATATATGAAGAAATTAGGGTTTAAGTTTAAAGGTATAAAGGGTTTTTTATATGATTTGTCTCCATTCAAAATCTTCTCAAAATTTGAGGAGTAGGAAAATAATCAGTACATAATTAATTATCCCTTTATAAAATAAGGAAATGTGCCCAACTAGGGTGCAACACTAAGAAATAGATTCTGCCCATGGTTACCTGTGTATCCTCAGAGCCTACTCTTTTGCTTATTAACTTCATTCCCATCACTCCCAATACTTGTTTCAAAACTCCAGTCAAGCCAGAATAATCACCATGTCCAGATTTCCATGGCAGCTCTCACGGAGAACCTGAAGGGAAGTTAGGTAGTGCTATCAGAGATGACATGGGAGCAAAAGGGAGAAGCCAGGACACGCAATGATAGGGGAAAGGGCGAATTTCTCCTATTCCCATGTCGGCAGCACTAATTCTCTAACTGATCAAAGTCTTCAAAAATGTTTAAGTTTTTTAATTACTTTGTTCAACAAACCTTTATTGAGCTTTGACTCTGTACTAGGCCACAAAGGTAGATAAAGCAGTTTCTTCCTTAAGGGGATTTACATCTTGTGGCAGGAGCCAAGTCATCCAGTAATTGAAGTTAAGTATAATAGATGTCACTTTATTCATAGAGAGGCATACAAAGATCAGACTGACCGAAAAGAAGAACTTTTGTTTTGTGTCATCTTGTTTGTGAGTCTTTTGAGCTAGTCCTGTTGTGTAGGGCCCACAACCTGGAAAATTGCCTTCCAGCCCCCGTCTCTTCTTTTTAAGGCCAACCTGCCTTTGCTGCAGCGAGAACTGCTGCACTGTGCACGGGCCGCCAAGCAGACCCCATCTCAGTACCTGGCTCAGCATGAACACCTCCTGCTCAACACAAGTATTGCATCACCTGCTGACTCTTCTGAGTTGCTCATGGAAGTGCATGGAAATGGAAAGAGGCCCAGCCCAGAGAGGTGAGAAGAGAAGACCTTTATTGTCCTTACTTTCCTGAAACCAGTCTATCTGAGCTTCCTCTTGCTTGTGAAAGAAAGAGAATTTGATTACTATGATTATACATAAGTATGGACTCAGATTGCATAGAGTTAGTTTTACTTTCTCCCAACATCCAGGCTTCTCAAATCTGTAGAACTAGCTCCCAGATATTTTTCAAAGCTCTTCAGACAACTCTGTATACCACTTGTGAGAAACTCTATGGGTCCAGGGCTCCAGAACCACAAGAAGAAAATATTCCCAAGGCATTCTTTCTGATTTGTGAAATCTTGTAAAAGTTTTATTAATTATTGATACTTGTTAGCACTTATTTGTTAATGAATTGACACATATTAATGAATCACCTTTACTTCGAAGATTAAAATTATTAACTTATTCTGGAAATTTCAGTATGAGAGTCTGCTACAACCTGTGATTTGTCAAGGAAGCAATATTTTAACAGGAAAATTTGTTATAATTGAAGCTAAATGACTGAAAACCAATTCACAGTATATTAATGATGTGAGCCTTTTTTCGCCCATGTGGGAATTGTTTCTTTCCAATAACTGATCCCCACAGTAGCCAATATGACCTTGATCCCTTGCTAAACATAGTTGAACCCATCATCCTTCATATTCCTCTCATATAAGAAAATGCTATCATCTCCTTAGTCTCTCCTTGCTTTATGAGATTTAGATGTGTCTGCTTTGTTATGGATGGATTTGACCTCTTTTCATGCTGGGGTAAATCAGTAATTTCATTATCTACCTGGCACCTAAAGACATTTCAGTTCATGTCTCATGTCAAACCTGTCCTTACTGTATTCCTATTTATGAAAGTACAGAGCACAATACATAACACAAAGTAGGTGCTCAGGAAATGTTTGCATGAATACTTGTGTTCAGGCTCAAATATGTACTTCTGGTTCTTCTGCAGGAGGGAAGAGAGCAGTTTTGAAAGAGACACAATTCCTCCTGAGCCTCCTGCCAAGAGAGTGTGTACCATCAGCCCTGCTCCTCGGCACAGTCCAGCCCTCACTGTACCCCTCATGAATCCTGGGGGCCAATTCCATCCTACTCCTCCTCCTCTTCAGCACTACACATTGGAAGACATTGCAACTTCACATCTGTATCGTGAACCCAACAAGATGCTAGAACACCGAGAAGTTCGTGATAGACACCATAATCTGAGTAAGTGACATAAACAGCATGGTAATGATTTAAATTCAAATTGAGTGTTTGTTGTTGTTTTTTTTCCCACTCGGTAATAAAGGAAAATAATGTCATCGTTGCTTTCTTCTTTTGATAAGATAAAATAGTATTATACATAAAAAAGAATGATTAGAGTTGTAGGGTTTTTGTTTGCATTGATCTCACTTCATACATTGTTACTGTTGTCATTTAATGAGAGAAGTAGGAATAAAGAAATTTTAGGAAATACACAATGAAGTATTTAAGGAAAAGGGTATTACTTATTCACAAATGGTTTGAGAAAGAAATAGAGAATGATAAAACAACTGAGATAAAATATGAATATTTTTGAAGTCTGAAGGGCATATGAGAATTCTTTGTACTATTCCTACATTTCTGTAAGTCTGATTTTATTTCAGAATAAAACATTTTAAAAATGAAGGAGGAAATATGTAAAATATATGGTCTTGGAGGTGAAAGTACATGCATGGACAATTAATTAGGTCAGAAGGTGAGGCATATATAAATTTAAATCCTGGCTTTGCATCCTAACTAGCTGTGTGATCTTATGCAAGTCATTTAGGCTCTTGGAGCCTCAGATACTCATTTCTAAAATGGAGATAATACCTCCACCTGTGCTGGGTCTTTGTTACATTTGCAATGCTTGGCACATGCACACTCAGTAACCATTAAATTGAGAATTAAACAAAGACCCCTAACAAACCTTCCCCGAGATCAGTTTTGAACAGAGCTCTTCATTTTGTACTCATACAAGTTTACTACAGGAGGTTCTTGGGAGTTTACTGCTGAGCAGGTGTCAGAACAGAGAATCAAGGCAACTTATTTTGTACTCATACAAGTTTACTACAGGAGGTTCTTGGGAGTTTACTGCTGAGCAGGTGTCAGAACAGAGAATCAAGGCAACTAGCTTCCGAGGTTTCCCTTACATTTCCATTTGGGGGTATCCCGTGGAGTAAAAAATCAATACACACACACACAAAAAAACCATAACACATTTGCCTGTGCCCTTTCTGACTTGTGTTCACTAGCATCTTTGAAAGACTTGGATCACAGTAGGGCCTTGGCTTCATGCAGTAGTAGCTGAGTGATGAGGGGCATGAGCAACTGCCAACATTTACTGAGTCTTACTACTGCTTCAATTATGGTATATGTACATTATCTCATTTATTCTTCATAGCTGCCCCATGTAGTTGTTATCCCCATTTTACAGATGAGGAATGAAGGAACTATGGCCAAAATTATGTAACTAGAAAGTGGCAGAGAAAAGATTCAGACTCTGGCTGTCTGATGCTCTAAGCTGGATACATTACCAGTATGCTGTGGTGCCTCCCTAAGTAGCTACTGTGTGTGGTCCAATTCCTTTTACCCTATGTCTCTTTTCATATTAAAAACTAGGCTTACTATTGATTTGTTCTATATATTCATACTCATTTTTGCCAGTTTAATCTGTTACTTCCTGAGTGAGAAGTAGGCTAAAAGCTAGCTATAAGTGCATTTTGGTCAAATTTTCCTTACATTTCCAACAATTCGAGAAAAATGTTTTTAATCTTGAAGTATTCTACTTGAAAGACTTTATAATCCTCTACCTTGATTGTTTAGTTTAGTTCAACCATTGGTCTTCCAGGCTGGCTATAGATTAGTTTTCCTGCCTCCTTTTGAAAATGAGTGCCCCAGTACAGTGGTTTTTAACTCTTATCAAACCATCTATTTCCCCATCTTTTAAACAAATATGTTGTAGACCACCCTTCCCTCAACTTTACTCTCCTAAAGTGAAGTTTGTGAATACCACAGCTTACCTTAGACCCTTACCTTTAGGATCCATGTCCTAAAATATAACATATATATAAGAAAGTATTTTATAATGTGTTATTGCTCAGGCATGACTACACAAGTAGATACAATGAATAAGCAGATACTTGCACAGATACAGAATCATTATGGATACAACACCTGTAAATTCAGATTAACAGTATATTAATGACTCAAATACTGTGAGCAGTGTTGTATTATGTGATACACTTTTCAAAATAGTGGACAACTCTTCAGTAAATGCTTGATTCATACAGTCATTGTATTTCTGCAAATTTCACTGTATTTCAAAATCAGACAAAAAATATTTCCTAATACTAATTGTTTCCAAGGGCTGGTATAGTACCCACTCTGGTTGTGGTGATTAATCATTTGTATTGTGCCACATCCTTTTCAACACTTAATATTATATGGCAACTTATTTTTTTCCCCAAAATGTAGATGTGAAATGCTATTTTAGTGAAGATTTTTATATGCATTGTGTGACTACTTAAAAGTTTGAGTGCCTTTTCATGTTTATGAACCGTCTGTACTTTTGTCTGTGATATACCTATTTCTTTTGCCTATTTTTCTTCTGGGCTATTTTGTGTTTTATAATTAAGTTGTAAAAGTTTTTATGTATTCTGAATAGTAATTTTTTTCTTGGTTTTATTTCATTTTGAGAGTCCCCACTCCATTGTGAATCATTGCCTTAATAGCGCTCATGCGGTATGAATTGTGTGCATTTACTCAGTAGAATTCTGTTACTATATACTCTTCTCCAAATTAAATCTCTAATTTCATGGATCTAATAGGTCTAAATGGAGGCTATCAAGATGAGTTGGTGGATCACCGTTTGACAGAAAGGGAATGGGCTGATGAATGGAAACATCTTGATCATGTAAGAATTTTTTCCTATTAATTTTAATTCTTAATATTATGAATAATAATACAGTATATGTGCTTGAAGTGAACTTAAGCAGAGCCCCAGTATCTTTGCAATAAAAGCTGATTTACCTACTCCTCCCCCAGCTAGAGAACTAAGGGTAATTTCCAAATCTTTGTGGTGGGGTCTCAATTCAGGTTATAACCAAGTCAAGTCATGTAATATAATGATTAAAAAACTAGTTTTGTGAGTTCAGGTCCCAGCTTTGCCATTTCCTACCTTTGCACAGAGGGCACATAGCTTCACCATTTTTAGCCAAAATTTTTTTTGTTTTGGTATCATTAATCTACAATTATATAAGGAACATTATGTTTACTAGACTGCCCCCTTCACCAAGTCCCCCCTACAAGCCCCATTACCGTCACTGTCCATCAGTGTAGTAAGATGCTGTAGAATCACTACTCGTCTTCTCTGGGTTGCACAGCCCTCCCCGTGCCTCCCCCGCACATTACACATGCTAATCCTAATACCCTCTTTCTTTCCCCCACCCCCTTGTCCCTCCCTTCCCACCCATCCTCCCCAGTCCCTTTCCCTTTGGTAACTGTTAGTCCATTCTTGGATTCTGTGAGTCTGCTGCTGTTTTGTTCCTTCAGTTTTTTCTTTGTTCTTATACTCCACATATGCATGAAATCATTTGGTACTTGTCTTTCTCCACCTGGCTTATTTCACTGAGCATAATACCCTCTAGCTCCATCCATGTTGTTGCGAATAGTAGGATTTGTTTTCTTCTTATGGCTGAGTAATATTCCATTGTGTATATGTACCACATCTTCTTTATCCATTCATCTACTGATGGACACTTAGGTTGCTTCCATTTCTTTTTAGCCATAATTTTTATGTCTCAAAAAAATGGAATGCTATTATTTGAAATCACAGGGGGTTATGATAACATGTAAGGTACTTATCACAGTGTCTGGTATAGAAGAAGTGTTAAATAAAAAGACCTTTTCTAAATACAAATAGGCATTAGTGTCCTGTTACAGAATATAAGCCCCACTTCTCTATCCCATTAGAAAAGAGGGCTTCCTCCTCATTAAAAAGGGAAGAGAAGATGTAGTATCTGCTTAAAGTGGCTTTTTCTTCTTGGTGATATTCTCCGTAAACACTGTTTATCTGATTGCATTCTAATATAAGTCTCCAGGTTTACCAGATGACTTTTGGTGCATTTTGGCAGACATATAATGTGGTTTCACTACAGTGTTTAAAGGACCATATTATAATGAGGCTCTGGTTGCTTCAACCTTGAAGAATCCAAAAAGTGTTATATTTTGAAATCCAGAAAAATAAATTATTATTTGTTACATGTATTTTTTAAAAGAGTAAGAAAGACTTTCAAATCTAAGTTTGAATTGCTAAATCTGTAAGATACTTAAACGTGCTTTCTATTTTGTCTGTCTATCCCTGATTTTCAATGTTGGTTGTTTGAATGTCCTCATCTCAACTCTGCCTAACTTCCTCTCTGGCTCAGGCCCTGAATTGCATCATGGAAATGGTGGAGAAAACAAGGCGCTCCATGGCAGTTCTGCGGCGCTGTCAGGAATTCGATCGTGAAGAACTCAACTACTGGAAAAGACGATATAATGAAAACACAGAGATGAGGAAAACAGGGAGTGAGTTGGTCTCCAGACAGCACAGTCCTGGGAATGTAGATTCTCTCAGCAATGGTAAGGGGGAGAGTCTCTTCTAAGATGGCAAGGAAGGCTTTATATATTTTACTTTAAAGAAAGATGGTGCTAGATTGTGGAGTCAGAGAGACCCATGTGATTATGAAGAAAAAATGATAAAATATGTCAAGGACTCAGTATCTGGCATGTTCAGGAAACAGTGTCTTCCTCTTGGAGAATAAGAACATAATTTTGTTCTGTTTTTAACTCTCTCTATTTATGTGCTAAGTGATGATCCAAGTGTTTGGTTACTTACCAGTCAGGTTGAGTGTACTAGGTAGGTACTCTGATGTACGTCACATTGCTCACAGTACTCTGAGAATGTTCACCTCACTTTCCCTCCTCTTTCCCACTCTCCATCCAGGAAAATACCATTTATCAAACTCTGCCTGGAAGACTTCTACAGAGTTTTACTATATCAATCTGGGTTGTCCCATTTTGCCTTGCCCCAGCCTAAAGCAGCAGAGGTGTGAACATCTGTTCTCTCAATTCAGGATATATCCAGGATATCACAGCTATTTCCCAAAAATATTCCATTACATTCACCTAGTAACTGAAAAAATGCTCTGTCCTAAGGCACAGCTAAATGAGGGGCTATCTGTGATGAGACTCTTTATGCACCCACCCACTTCAAGCTCCCAGTTTTCACCAGGGAGAATGAATCTCTTACTACGATAGACCTAGCATGTTCCACAGAAGACAGCTGTTGTTATTAAAAAGACTACAAAAAATAATTGGAGCAAAGACTTCAGTAACTAAGGGATCCCACCCCCCCACCCCACCCATAGAGGTGACTCATGAGCCAACTGTAGATGAGCAACATTGTGTATGATATCTAGCAGGGCAAGATATCACAGAATACTTACAGTGATGTATGATTCACAAAAACTTCGAAGCTAAATCCTTAGGTATCCCTCACATCTGAACCTTCGCAAACATTTCCTGTAACAGCTTGGAGAAATATACCCAAAGTTCACAATCCAAATCACAAACCTTTTATCAGTGAGTCTACATGCGTGCAGTGCAGGTGAGATGACAGGTAGTGCAGAGCTGTTGTCATGAATTGCCTCTTCCTTAGCCAGGGATGCAGGTCTTGCTGGTATTGTTTTAATGCTGCTTTGCATTAACCTCTACTCATTTTTTTCACCCTTTGTGTGAGGGTTTAGGGTGACTGTATGTTCCTATTTGCCTGGCACAGTCCTAGTTTATGTCTGTCAGCTGTCTTAATTATTGCTACCACCTCCCTTTCTCTGAAAAATGAGAACAATTGGGATGATGTATCATACTGTCACTCTAGGTTTAGCTCCTTGTGAATCCCAGTGTCTCCTCTCAGATTTCCCAGGGCACTATCAACCTATCTGACTCAACAGCATCTTTTTTTACACATATTGTACATATTTAGTATTTTTTCCCCTGTTTATTTCTCTTATAGTACACATTTGTTGCATTATAGAGGGAAAGCATAATTCATATACTAAGCAAGCATGCTATTCAAAATATGAACCAAAAGCACTCCCAATTTGTTACTGGTCTGCAATGATAGAGGATGTATTGGGTACCATTAACTTCATTTTCAGAAGAGTCCTATAACTAAGCAGTGTGCTTGGAGACATAGTTGTTTTGCATTCTGGCATAAGTTCCATATCTCTTTAGGGACCAATAACAATTTTTAGACCAGTACTTTGAGTAGCACTGTCTTACACTGGGTGATATTCTTCGGCATAGCACACAAACATACTCACCAGTGACTTTTAAATAACTAGATAATTAGTGTTTTAAATGTTTGGGGTTATACAGAAACCCGTGGTGGATCGTTATTGTAGTATTCAGTATTTAAGTGTTTTGGTGATCTGGAGAGATAGACTAGAGACTGGATATCATTATTACTTTTCCCATTTAAAGTAATGAAGTATAGGTTCTCTTTATCTGAAAATTTGTGATTTCAGGAACAGATTTTGTTCAGACAACATGGCATGTATATTGGGGTTTGTTTTTTTTTTGTATCATTAATATACAATAACATAAGCAACATCATGGTTACTAGATTCCCCCCATTATCAAGTCCCCACCACATACCCATTATAGTCAGTGTCCATCAGTGTAGTAAGATGCTATAGAGTCACTACTTGTCTTCTCTGTGCTATACTGCCTTCCCTGTGCACCCCCCTACATTATGTGTGCTAATCGTAATGCCCCTTATTCCCCTTATCCCACCCTTCCTCCCCAGTCCCTTTCCCTTTGGCAACTGTTAGTCCATTCTTAGGTTCTGTGAGTCTGCTGCTGTTCTGTTCCTTCAGTTTTTGCTTTGTTCCTATACTACACAGAAGAGTGAAATCATTTGGTACTTGTCTTTCTCCACCTGGCTTATTTCACTGAGCATAATACCCTCTAGCTCCATTCATGTTGTTGCAAATAGTAGGATTTGTTTTCTTCTTATGGCTGAATGATATTCCATTGGGTATATACCACATCTTCTCTATCCATTCATCTACTGATGGACACTTAGGTTGCTTCCATTTCTTGGCTATTGTAAATAGTGATGCGGTAAACATAGGGGTGCATATGTCTTTTTCAAACGGGGCTCCTGCATTCTTAGGGTAAATTCCTAGAAGTGGAATTCCTGGGTCAAATGGTATTTCTGTTACTAGTTTTTTGAGGAACCTCCATCCTGCTTTCCACAATGGTTGTCTATTGGTATTTTTATTTAAGGATATATAAATAAGTACAAAAACCATAAGGAAAAACAAAAAAAATTATTATCATAGAATTCAAGAGAACAATGTACTCTGAGGGTGGTGAGTGGAGGGTATAGATGACTGGAGAGTAAGCTCTAACTGTCTTTACTGGCTTTTTTAGGGACAGGATTGCAAATCTGGTTTTACCTTTACTCACCTCTTCGGGGTTTTAGGATTGTTGGAAGTGGTCCCTCGATTTGTAAGTTTATGGGTGTTCATGGTGTTATAATTTTTCATTAAATTGTACAGTAATATTTTTGTGAACTTGGTAGCCATCTAATATTGTACAATTAAATTTTTTTAAAAAGAGAAAGAAAGAAACTGACTGAACTATCAGTTTTTCTTGTGAATGAGAGAGTCACCTGGGTATTATAACAGGTAAACATTCTAGGTACTTCTCTGGAAGTTATGATTCAGGGACCCAGGAATCCAAATACATATGTTTAATGAGTCAAATAATCAGACTAGATTGGGAAAGCTGCCTGTAATTAGCCCACAGTCAAAAAGCCCCAACCACGAGGCTTTAACAAAGCTTTGTACTGGTGTGCATTACTTAGTATGACCAAACTCTAGAAGTAAGCGTGTAATATTAATAAAGAAACAAAAATGGGAGTTAATGGCTTTTCTGAGGGAAAAACTTCAAAAAACACATTGTTAATATCCCTGGAGAGCTAAAAATAAGAAAATTAGAGAATCCATCAAACTCATGTATCAAATTATGAGTTTCAGAAAGAGTGAATAGAACTGCAAGAGGACATAGAATCGTTACTGAAATAATTTTTTTTAATTACCCAGAAAGACAGTATTCCAGTTCAGCCAATCTACCAAGTAAGAAACAGTGGAAGAAACAGACTTCTCAATTAGCAACATTGAAAGTCAGAAGACAACTCTGAAGGAAAGTTATTTTAGCCTAGAATTCTCTGTTCAACCAAGACAATGAAGTATTAGATTAACACCCACAATTTTTCAAAAGAGTGCATGCACTTCCCATCTACTCTTTATTATGGTGTGTGCCACAGTTGGGTAGGATGCACACTAAAGCAAGGAGGTAAGCCAGAGAGTGGAAGAAATATGATTCACCAGGATCCAACTCAAGAAAGAGAGAGCATAAGGGAATCCCTAAAGGGATGAGGGAGGGTCCCAAGCAATAGTGGTAAGCCTGGAAAGCAGTCAGTTCAGACTCGAACAGCCTTGAATCTTGCTGGAAATTTCAAGAAAATGAAATTTATAAAATATTTACACAGTAGGAAGAGAAATGGAGATTGAATTAGAAATAATAACATAAGAAATATAGCAAATGAGTAAAAGCAATTACTAACTAAGAAAAATAAATACTTGTTCAGGAAAATAAGATTCATAGAATCTGAACTGCATGACTCAGCTGTGATTAGCATTTATGTTGAGGACGGTAAATGTTGACTATTGATGTAACAGAATTTGAGTATCTCTATTTGGGGGAAGGAATTATGAATGTGTATCTGAGGTGGGGTCAGAGCAGGAGTTCAAAGAGAGTACAGCTCTTTCCTACTGAAATGGCTAGTCAGTCTGTAATGCCTGTAGCTGAAAAATCAGAATGTATGTAGCAATACCAGAAGAGTCAGCTAAAAGAATGACACTTTCTCATTGTTACAATAGAAAATATATATGACTTACAGAGAAGATACTCCTGGTGTGGTTTGTAAGACCTTATCGATGAACGCTAGGTCCTTCAGTGGTTAACCCTGGGTGCCCATTAGAATCACCCTGGGAACTTTTAGAGAACTTCTGATACCCTGGCCCCACCTCGAGATTCTGATTTAATTGCTCTGAGATGAGACCTGGGCTCGCAGAGTTGAGAACCATTCCTTTATGTACATATCATTTAATTCTCAGAGCAACCTCAGGAGGTACATTTTTTAGTGAAACTGCATGGCTCATTACAGAAAGTACAGAAACATAAAGAATTTATTAGGTCCTCATCCCACACACTGAAGAATTTTGAAATGTATCTTGAGAATACTGTATTGATTTGTGTTGATTTCTATGAAAATTCAACTTCATTTTAGCATGTTCTGACATCAGTAAAGATTTTATAAACATGATTTTAATTACTGTATATTCTACCATGTAAATAAAGTATACTTTCCTGAAACACTTAACTTTTTTAACATTACTTTTTTTTTTTGCCTTTTTTGTTACTGTTTTTCAGTGACTAATACAATATTTAAAATCTTTATACATAAGGATTTTTCAAACATCTTGCATTTTTCCTGAGGGTATATTCTTATAAAATTAATGGGTTGTAGATAACAGGCACTTTTGATCTTGGTGTGTTTTGATGGATGGTATAGGTAATATTTATGGGTTCAAGTCTCATTTTCCGTTATGATTTGTTCTTAACCTTGTTCCCCATTCAGGGTACAGCAGTTTTCATCTATATTATTTCAGGTTTTGAGTGTTAGCTATCTAAGTTTAAATTTTCCAAACAGTTGAAATTTTCCTTCATCAGTGAATAATACCAACCCTTTATCTATTGAAATGACATAATTATCAAATGCTGCATTTTGTTAAATACTTTAGTGTATTTCTGTCATTGACCTTTCTCACTGTATTATAATTTTTAATAATATTAAGTTACCTGGGCGCTTAAACATTCCAGCCAGTGCTAAGCCTTTTATGTGTTTTCAAAACTGCCTATCGAAATAGGGGAACTGCTGTTATATTCGGCAAAACTGAGGCTTCAGCAAGTTTAAAAACTTGGCCAAAGTGGTCATATAGCTAGTAAGTCAGGATAGCAAGTATGGTATTCCAGAACCAGCAAATACCTTAGTGATTATGTTAATACTGCTTCCCAATAGAGTATCAAACTTTTAACTATTATAGCTTTTAGAATGTGTTTTAATATGGGGTAATGTTAGGTCCACTTTGTTTTATTTACTCTGGCTTCTGGAAATACCATGAAAATGTCCCTAGGTATGTCCTGAGTAATCTGAGAAGTTCCTTTGGGGTTAAGTGCATGTTGCCTTTTGCATCTATCAGAGCAATAAAAACTGAGGACCGGGCAGGTACAAAGAATGTGACCAAGGGCATATTTGATGATTGAAGTGAAGCAGCTTTTCCTTGGTTGTCAGGACTTCCCCACGTCCCACAAGTAAATAAGTGTTTCTTCTGTCATTTAATGCCAATGATGACTCTACTATACACTCACTGGTTTTCCTTATTTAAGACTCAGTTGAAATTGATTCACTTCCTTCTCTTTAGCTTGTGTTACTTTATCTGTAATGATCCTAGATTTTTCCCTATATTTAGTTCACGAATCTCATACTTGAGATTCTAGGTATTTGACAAATGGCCACATGAACCAGGAACCTCACCTGTGTTGAAAAGAGCCCTTCAGTGTTCTTTTTACCAGTGAGTGGTGATAGTACTTCCTAGAGAGTCTAGTGTCACAAAAAGTACTAATACTATCAAAATTTTAAACTTATGGGGCTCCCCTCAGGGTGATAAAAATGTTCTGGAAGTATATAGGGTTGCACAACATTGTGAAGTCACTAAAATGTCACTGAATTAGACACTTTAAAAATGACAAATTTTATGTGTATTTAACATGACTTGAAAAAAAATCATTATCCCCTCATATCTCTGGGGGACACAGAGGTAGGCTCTCTCTTTGTGCCGGTAGCTCTTGGAATGGAAGAGATTGCCTCCTTACCCAAGACTGGTTTGCTGCTAATTCTCAGGCATTCTCATGAAGATTAACCATTTTATAAAGCTCTTTTGGCAAATGTTTCATTCCAGTCTAACCTACCCTGTTACATTGGCTGTTACCGATTCCTCTGCACTGTGGATTGGTGAGTGTTCAGTACATAAAATCTACTCTCCAAATGAGCTTTAACAAAGTGTAAGGAAATGAGGAAGTCTGCTGGTACTGACTTTTTTTTTTTTTAACTCAAATTACCTTAGTTTTCACACTTTTTAAAGCAATGGAACTGTTTTCTTATAAAAAATTCTCTTACAGTCACAATAAGTATGATAAAATCAGTCGCCTTCTACTTGTTTGCTTTCCCAGCAACCAGGTCCCTGGAGTGCCTCTTTGGGTACATTTGAAATGCATGTTCCAGATCAGAGTATCTTCTTTTTTACTTTCTTTTTGTTTGTTTGTTTATAAGCATTTCAGGAAACTTTAAAGGAAGCCTCCTTAAATCACATGAGGATCCAAAGTTGCCAAGAAACAAACACCATATTCCCCACATATCTACAGAGCAGTTACCAAAGACCTGTGCATAATGGGACAGTTAAATTGGATACAGATACACTCATACACATACATAAATATCTCTCTGTAGTTATATTTATATATTTTAGGGAGTACCTTAAAAAATACATATATGTCATAGGGGAAAAAAGGAGCACTTGTAGATAAGTAAAAAGAACAAAGTGAAGATCACTTTTAATCTCACTACTTTGAAATATGTACCATTAATATCTGAGGCATGTATACATGTGTTTTAAAACTAAAAATTAGGTAGACTATTTTATTATAATCTAATTTTATCCTGTATCAGAATAATTTTTACACTAAATGAACAGAATATGTTTGAATCTTTCTAAATGGTGAATGAGAAATGTGTTGAATTTTACATAAAAATAAAATGTACTGGTTATAGACAGCTTTTGACCCTATGCTATTTATCTCTCTCCTTTAGATTCACAGCGGGAATTCAGCAGTAGGCCAGGAACAGGATACGTACCTGTGGAGTTTTGGAAGAAAACTGGTATGTGTCTGTCTACTTACGTTCAAGCATGGAATGTATATTTGGGGGAAAGGTGGTTGTCTCATAATTTCCTAATGGACGTCTAGGCTACTGCCTCTCAGGTTACTTTGTAGGTCAAGAATTTGAAATGACTTCCTATAGTCCAGATCTGTTACACACCCTTAGTAGGTCACACTGAGGCATTTAAATAACCAACTCTTCTCTGTTTATATAGCCCTGTTTCTGCGTGTATAGCTTAATTCATTTCTTCCTGTTCTTTTCACTAGACTCTATATACACTGTGCTCACACACAACCACATTTGGTTCCTTCTGCTCTTGGAACAGCCCTCTGCTCTTCCTTTCATCTTCATTGTCCCTAGCTTTGTGAAGACTATTCCTGGTAGACTTGATTTTCTACAAGAATAAGGAGGGTTCAGACTGCTGTGGTAAGATTGAGGATTAAACTAACCTCATATCCCTAGTATTTCCCTTATCCAAATATTAGCCTTTTCCTCCTTGCCTCCCTTTCCCAGTAATATAGTCCAGTACAAAAAAGTTAATACCTGTCATTCATAAAGACTCTTTCAGGGCCATCAAGACCATGATAAGCAAATGGACAAAAGACAGGAACACACAAATTATGTTATCAACAATACAAATTAGCATATTGTATATCAGGAAAGTGGCAGTCAGGAAACTACAAGATAAAGCAACCTTGATCTCCTCCTCTATCTCAAACTCTTTGATACTACCAACTTCATTCTACCTCATCCCTTCCACTGTGCCATTTGCTCCTGCCTAAATTAAGTCTTAAGAAAAAAATCAGCTGGATTATTTCTCCAGCCTCCAATTGGTATCTTTGTCTTCAGTCTTCTTTTCTCCTTGCATAGCACCTCTTAGGGGTTCACATTTTTGTTAGATAAAAGGCCAAATTCTTCAGCATGGGATGCAAGATTTTCTAAAAATTCATTTCTACCTACCATCTAAAGGAAGACACATTTTCTTGATCCTCTCCTGCCACTTGTAGAGCTTTTCCCCTTGGAACTCTTACCTTATACTGACATAAATCATGGCATCTAAGCCACCTGTATACTTGATCATGAACAGTTATGAAAATGTGAACTACATCTTAGCCACCTAGGTATCCCAGCCCCTAACACAGTGCCCATCTATATATTCCATATTTTGCAGTCGCATCTACATACCCAACAGATGATTGCATGAATGGACAAGTCTAAGAATACAAATGAATAGGTCATAGGTTCCTCCTGTGTATTTCTAGAAAAGCCATCTTGTTTCAACTCTCCCTCTGCTTGGAAATGACATAGAGTGGGAGGGAAAAGATTTCTCGGCCAGTTGATTTTACTGTCACTTTCTTCTAGAAGAAGCTGTGAATAAGGTGAAAATTCAGGCCATGTCAGAAGTACAGAAAGCCGTTGCTGAGGCAGAGCAAAAAGCCTTTGAAGTGATTGCAACAGAGAGAGCTCGGATGGAGCAAACCATAGCGGATGTCAAACGGCAGGCTGCAGAGGATGCCTTCCTCGTCATAAATGAGCAAGAAGAGTCAACAGAGGTCAGAGATCTGTTAGCCCTGGGGGCCAGGGTTGGGACAGTTAGAGTAACCAAGCCCATGCTTGCTTCTGAAGTTCTGGGCAGTAAGACTCAACAGTCCATTCTTTTTTTATTTTTTATTTTTTTTATTTTAGTATCATTAATCTATAATTACATGAGGAACATTATGTTACTAGACTCCCCCCATCACTAAGTCCCCCCCCACAAACCCAATTACAGTCACTGTCCATCAGCATAGTAAGATGTTGTAGAATCACTACTTGTCTTCTCTGTGTTGCACAGCCCTCCCTGTGCTCCCCCCACATTATACATACTAATCTCAACACTCCATTCTTTTTTTCTTTTTTTTTTTTTTT